TGGCTCGACCCCGCCGGTTCCCCCCGAAGGCTCCCAGCCCAACCCCGCACAGCCCAAATCACATTCAGACTTTCTCCACACTGCGGAGCTTTTGCTGTGCAACCAGCCGTGATTCAACTTTTCAAAGTTTAAATGCAATTTTCTCCCCCATTCTTTTTCCCTGCCAGCGTTTCAAAGCGGAGAAACTATTTCCACCCCCAAGAAGCAGAGGAATCGGAAGCGAGGGAGGGTTCTGTGTCAGAATAGGTTTCGAACATCTCTCATCACCAAAAGCCGAGGGTTACGCACAAGCACAAACTTAACACCGAAGGCAGAGGCTAAAGTAGTTCGCTAACATAAGCGAAGAAAGAGGCCAGAGAAGGGGAGCGGGTTGGGTTGCTAAGAGGAAAAGGCTTTTCTTTCACTAGCCTGACTAACTTGAATTAGACAAACGTGGAAAGATGAAGATGGGCCTCAAATCCTCATCGTGATAGAAGTATGTTAATGTCTTATTCTAGCTAAACTGTTAGGCATTTCTTGGAGGGAGGGTGGTTTACTGAAAATCCCAAACTCCAAAATTGAAGTTAATTGCACTTTGCTAATTTTCAGTAGAATATATTAGGTACTACAGATTATCAAAATGTCCATCCACAGAACTTCATATACTGAGCACCTACTATTTGCAAAGCATTTCAGTAAGTGCAGTGGGAGATACCCAATCTTCTGGCACAGTGAGGCTGATACATGGGGAGCACGAACAACACAAATACCAGCAGAAAGTGTCAAGGCCATAGAAGTGTAAAAATAAAGTTTTGTGAGATTTCAGATAAGGGGTAACTCAGCTTGAGGGTAGGCAGGGGTTAGGGAAAGCTTCTTGGAAGATGTGAGAATCCAGAAATTCCTCTATTTAAGAACATATTTGGTTTCAAAAGATTATCCATCAGTGCACTTGTTCATAAGTCTCCAAGAGGTGTTTAACTCTAGATGCATTTCTAGGACGTATGAATCGATTCTTTGGAGCTTTAAAACCACGAGTACTCTTCTCCGGGCTGATGTATGTTCTCTGACATCTCTCTCCAAAACGGACAGGTTTTATCTGCTTTGAAAATCTGTTAAGACAAACAGCTCCCTTCCAGACCATCTCTGTGGGTATCCTAGGGAATGCTTAAAGCTACTGCAGCATGCATCAGGTTGCCACTTAACTTTGAAATCGAGTTAGATTTGAATAAGCCTTGAACTCCGTGTCACACAAACCTGAGTATTCCAAGGGCAAAGGGATAAAAGCTAAGTCAAAATATTTTTGAACAGTAGCATCCAGAAATTTGGGGAACAGCTACAAGCAGTTAAGTACTCTGTATGCTAATAGACCACAGGTCCTGAGGAACTGCATCCCATGTACAATAACTGCTTGTTTCCTAGCTCCTTCCAAAACCAGAGAAGGAGATGTCACATGAAATGGATAAGCCAGCTCTGGGAATCTAGGTCTCCAAGACAAATAGTGTTAATTCCAAGAAGACATCATTAAGAAAGTTGTCTCGGGCTTCCCTGGTGGCGCAGTGGTTGAGAGTCCGCCTGCCGATGCAGGGGACACGGGTTCCTGCCCCGGTGCGGGAAGATCCCACATGCCGTGGAGCGGCTGGGCCCGTGAGCCATGGCCGCTGAGCCTGCGCGTCCGGAGCCTGTGCTCCGCAACTGGAGAGGCCACAACAGTGAGAGGTCCGCGTACCGAAACAAAAAACAAAACAAAACAAACAAAAAAAAAAGAGTTGTCTCATGTTCCTACCCAGACTCTTCTCAACACACACCTGTACACACACACACAGACACAGACAAAATAGTCTTAGATGCAATCAATTTGCTCTCAGCTGAACCATAAGCACTCAACTTACATCCTCAATTTACCCAAATATAAGGATGAATATTAAAATAAAGATAATTTTGAAAAATAACTAGAACCAATAGGAGAATTCTATAAGATGATGGATACAAAACTCATTATTTTTAAAAACCATTAGTTTCCTGTGATAACTATTTAGGAACCACAAAGGAAAGAGGAATTTCCCTTACGACACCAAGGTAAATTACTTTGGAATTAATAAGAATTGTTCAGAATCTAAATGATGAAAAGTACAAAGACTTAATGAGAACTTAAAAAAAAATTTAAGTGTTCCTGGATGGAAACATACAGTAAAATAACAATGTCAAATACCCCAACCATATTTAAAATTTTAGCACCATTTTAAAACAATCTAACAATATTGTAAAATTCATTTGGACAAATAAACGTATAAGAATAGCAAATACTTTTTTCTTAATTGCAGGGGAAAAATCTGAAAGACTTTTAAGTGGACAAAAATGATTACTATATATCTTCAATGGAAAATTAGGCATTATCTAGGTTATCTGATTCTGTGGGGTCTCTGTACCTTTGTCTTTGAGCAACTTTACAACTCTTGTAAGTTGCAGATAACTGTCATGGACTGAATTGTGTCCCCCCCTCCCCCAGATTCCTATGTTGAAGTTCTAACCTTCAGTGTGACTGTATTTGGAGGTGGGGCCTTTTAAGTAGGTAATTAAGGTTAAATGAAGTCATATGGGTGGGTTCTTATAATGGAGTAATTAGGCAAGAAATGAAATAAAAGGATCCAGTTTGCCAAGGAAGAAGTAAATCTATCTGTATTTGCAGAGTACACAATCTTATACATAGAAAACCCTGAAGAATACACACACACAAACATAGACACACACACAACTATCTGAGCTAATAAATGACTTCAGCAAGGTTGCAGGATACAAGATCAGTACATTAAAATCAGTTGTATTTCTTAACACTAGTAAAGAACAATCCAAAGATGAAATTAAGGAAACAATTCCATTTACAATAGCATCAAAATAAATAAAATATTTAGGAATAAATTTAACCAAAGAAGTTCAAGACTTGTATACCAAAAACTACAAAACATTATTTGGAAGAAATTAAATAAGATGTAAATAAGTGGGAAGACATCTGCATTCACGGATTGAAAGACAATATTGTTAAGATGGTAATACTCAAATTGATCTACAGCTTCAATGCATTCTCTGTCAAAATTCCAACTTCTTTTTTTGAAGAAATTGACAAGCCAATTATGAAACTGATATGGACAGGTGAAGGACTGAGAATAGCCAAAACAGTCTTGAACAAGCAGAACAGAGTTGGAAGACTTGATTTCAAAACTTTCTACAAAGCTACAATGTATAGAACAGGGTGCTACAGGATTAAGGGTAGACATATAAATCAATGCAATAGAATTGAGAGTCAAAAAATAAACTCTGACATTTATGATCAACTGATTTTCAACAAGGATGCCAAAACCATTCAATGGGGAAAGAAGAGTCTTTCCAACAAAGGTGTTGGGACTAGATATTCATATGAAAAGAACTAATTTGGACCCCTGCCTCACACTATATTTTAAAAAATTAACTCAACATAGATCATAGACTTAAATGTAAAACTATGAACTCTCTTAGATGAAAACACAGGTATAAATATTTGTGACCTTGGATTAGGCAATGGTTTCTTAGATATGGCACTAAAGACACAAGCAACAATAGATAAATTGTACTTCATCCAAATTAGAAAGTTTTGTGTATCAAATCAGACTATAGAGAAAATGAAAGGTATCCAGAGAATGGGAGAAAATTTTGCAAATCATATATATGATGAGAGTCTAGTCTCCAAAATATATAAAGAACTGTTACAACTCAACAGTAAAAAGACAACCCAATTTAAAAGTGGACAAAGTATTTGAATAGACATTTCCCCAAAGAATCTACAAAAATAGCCAATAAGTATGTGAGAAGATTTTCAAGATAGTCATTAGTAAAATGTAAATCAAAACCACAATGAGTTATCACTTCACACCCACTAAAATAGCTATAATAAAAAACAAACAAAAAACAGAAAATAACAAGGGCTGTCAAGGGTGTGGAATAATTGGAACCTTCATACAATGCTGGTGGGAACATAAATATAGAGAAGAGTCTGGCAGCTCCTCAAAAACTTAAACATAGAGTCACCGTATGACCTAGCAATTGCATTCATATATATATATGAAATGAAAACTGTGTTCATACAAAAACACGTCAATGAGTGTTCATAGCAACATTATTCATAACAGCCAAAAAGTGGAAACTACCCAAATGTCTATCAATTGACAGACAAATGGATAAACAAAATTTGATATATCCATACAATGGAATATTATTTGACTCTAAAAACAAATGAAATACCGATACATGCTAAAACATAGATGAACCTTGTTACAGTGGAATCAGAAAAGCCAGAAAGAAGAGCATGATTCCATGTATACAAAATGTCAAGAATAGACAAAAATCCACAGAAATACAAAGCAGATAAGGGGCTGCCAAGGGCTGGGAGAAGAGGGGGCTGGGGAGTGACTGCTAGCAGGTGTAGGGTGTTTTTGGAGTGACGAAAAAGCTCTGCAGTTAGATAGTGGTAGTGGTTGCACCACTTTGTGAATATACTAAAAACCCAGTAAATTGTACACTTAAAAATGGTGAATTTTATGGCATGTGAATAATCTTAGAAAAAAATAAAGAAATGCATGTTGAAATAAAAATGAAAATTTTCTCCTATATAGTTGAGAGAAAAAAAGAAATGATATCACCCCAGGTTGTCAAGGACAGTGTGAACTGGAAACTTCATGAACTGCCAGATGGAGGATAAATTATTGTAGCATTTTGAAAAGGCAGTTTAAAAGTGTGTGCATCAAGTCCTTAAATTTTTTTTTCTTAGCAGGTTTTTTTTTTTTCACCCTACCACCTGGCATGTAGGATCTTAGTTC